GGGGCTTGCACTCGCGGCGCGGCGCGCCGCGGGGCGTCGTGGAGCTCGCGGCAGCCCAGCCTCTGGAGGGCCGGCCAAAAAAGGACCAGAAGTCCGCCCAGAAGGTGAAGAGGCATAACGCTGGCGACCCCAACCAGTCCGACGGCGAGTCCTCAGTCCTCAGTTCGTCGAGCGGCCCTGGCACCGAGTCTTGGTCCGACTCGTTCAAGGAGGACTCTAAGAAGGACGATGGCGTGGTCTACGACCCAGACGGCGCGCTGGGCGGCGCCTAGTCAGATTTCCCGATGTCCGAATCCGAGGGCTCGGGTCGGGTCGCACTGTCGCATCGATCGCGCGCCCGCTAGCTGCAGGCGCAGCGCAGGCTGCCCCGGGCCGGGTCGCGCGGATTTTTTTCTGCTCCGAGCTGCCGGGCATCGCGCGGGAGAATTCGCCCACTCCTCCACCCCCCCGCCCTGCCCCGTCAAGCGCGGGGGAGCTCTAGATGATAGTGCGGGGGCGCGGCAAACGACGTCGGCGGGCAAACGGCGCGCCGCGCGCAGCTGCGAATTCCTCTGGCCCAAATTTTAAGCGCCGCGTAGCTAGGCGGGAGGCGATTGAACACGGCGCCGCTGAAGGGGGGAGGCGGGGAGGGGGGCCTTCGAGTACGACCTTGATATAACGGCATCTCTTGAGGGGCGCGATGGGGTAGGCCCACGTTTGCCCGCGGGCCTCCTGGTCGTCGCCCTGGCCGCCGCGGCCTCGCCGCGCCGCCGTCTGCCGCCGTGGGGCCGCGGCGGCGGCGAGCGCGGGCTGCCCGGGGGAGGGGGGGGTGCGGCGGCGCCGCGGCGAGGAGCGCCACAAAGGCAACTGGCGGGGAGGGGCGGGGCGGAGAAGAGCAGCGATTGGAGGAACGCCCGCTTCCTCCTCTCCGTCTGTTAGAATTAGCGGCCGCGCGGCGGGTGCTAAGCGCCGCGCGTCGTTTTTGGGCCTGCTGCGGGGCCCATACCGCGGCGGCTGCGGTGCGCGTGCGGAGGAGGGGCCGATGCGAGTTGGCTTCGATTTGGGTCGTTTGTTGTATGCGCGCCCTCTCGCGGGGTTGTTTCTTTTTTGTGTGTCGCGACCGCCGCCATAATTAACGAGATCCAGATGGTGCACGCGTGTGTGTTCGACGTTTCGCGGGGGAAAAACGCATGACAAACTATCTGCGCGATCGTTGTCGGCGGCTCTGGTCGCTGTTCTGGGGTTGGGGGTATACGACATGTTGTTTCGGAACCGCGCGCCGGCGATGTTCCTTTTGCGTTATGGACCTGTTTGTTCTGTCGTGTGTCCAACGCCTGTCAGGTGCCAGGCGCTGGTTGTCACGTTTTACAATGTTGGAACCAAGCGGTGCTCGTGTTTGCCAAGGCGAAGAACGATAACGCGGTTTTAGCAACGTCAAAACCAACATGTTGTCGTTCGGGACATCGGAAAGCAGCTAGGGCGCCCGTCACCCCCGACACCCAAGAGTTTCACACCAGAGATTTGTCTTGCCCAAAGTCACGCTTGCCTTTGGCCAGAATTGCGCAGGGAATCTGTGCCAGAGAGGAGCGGGCCAGACCTGCTGGGGTCGGCGCGCCGCACCTTTGCCTTCTGGCATGTCCTCGAAAGTAAGCCTGCTTACTGTTGGTGGCCGTTCGTGATTTTCGCTGCTGGGGCCAAGGCGGAGAACGACGAGGAGAGCGAAAAGGGAGGAGGAGGAGGAGGACGAGGAGGACGAGGAGGGGGACGACGACGACGGCGACGAGGACGGGGAGGCTGCCGATCCCTAGCGCCGCCCTGCTGCGTCCGCTGCTTCTGCCCGCGCAGGGGCGCCCCGCCCTCTTCTCGTCCAGAGCACTCCCCGTGTTGCAAGAGGACCCCCGGACCTCTGGCTGTCTGAACGTTCAAATTGAAAATGGTGAGTTGATGCAAAGTTGAGGACAGTTGCGGCCGGGCTTCTCTTCGACCATCGTCCTGGGGATACTGAAAGCGAGCGTTCTCAGAGACGATAGAGTTCTTTAACGATTAAAAAGAAGCTACAGGGCGAAGAGGAATAGGCAGTGAAAGAGCCGAGGCAGTAGAAAGAGGAAGAAAACTAAACCCTCGAATCAAGGCTTCAGCAGAACGAGGGCCTCGGCGACGGATTCTTCGTGAACAAGGGGGGCCGCGCACTAACTCCTTCGGAGTGGGCGTGTGTTCAAAAAGCAGGAAAAGGCTCAGCAATAGAATCACCCGGAGCGACCCCCAAGACCTCTACTCGATCTTCAAATCGGAGAAACGGCAAAAAAACGTGCCTGTCAGATCAGACTTCTCCTGCTCAAATGCATTCGAGTAGTCGACGCTGACAGTGCAAGCTTTAAAATCAATGCGAACGTTCGCCTCTGCAGGAACACGACTTTTGATCAGATCACTCGCTTTGCGCAAAGCCCAATTCCTGTGCTGGTTTACCTGCGATGTGGCAGGCTTAACGCGCAGGTTATCTCCGCCTGGAGAATGAAAAAAAAACGGCTGACCAACGCGCAAAATGAAATCTTTCGCGCCCTTCGAAGGCGGAAACTCGACGTAACCAGCCGGAGACAGAGTCTGATTATTCACAGGGTTTTTATCAAAATTGCTTGTGCTAAAAGAATTCGCCCCTACATGTTGCTTGACAAAATCTTCAATCGTCTGCAGTCTCGCTGCGGCGCTCCTGCTGTCCGAGAAACCGACGAAGGCAACGCGACGATGGGATACATCCATCGAATTGAGAATCTGCATGAATTTCGGAGACAACTTGCTGGATACTCCACGCGCCTCGACTACCTGCAAACGCTCCCGAAACGTGTTCATCTCGTCTTTCAGCGGGTCCACTGCACCTAAAATTTGAGCTGGCAAGATTTGCATCCATACCATTTGCGTCTTGGAGGTTTGAGTTCTCTTCCCCAGAAGCTGGAGGCGCAGTGGATATGGATAGATAGTTGGCCCATGGAGGCAATCCAATGCGCCTCGGCAGTGTGGCGCCACTTCCCAGAAAGTGCAGGGCGCAGTGGATATGCATACGTACAAAGTCTTCCCGCATTCGGGCATGTCGTTCGCTCTGCCGCTGCGCCGTCGTCGAGGTCGTGGGCCTGACCTCCGGCGCCGCGTGAAGATCCACTCGGTCTCGGAGTTCTCTGGCCACTCCGCGGCCGCTCCCTCCATCCGTCGTGCCTTTTCTTTTGTGCTTTCGCCGTTCGTCCGACCGCCTGGTGGACCCAACCGAGCCGCCGACCCCCAAAAAATGTGCAATGACCGTGGCCCTCCACAAGCGGCGAGGTGCGCCCGGATGAACCAACTCGAGCCAGCCGCAAGCTAGTGCTGCGCGCGTCAGCTTTGGGGGGCAGGGGTGCCTCAGTCGCTCTTTGCCTTCTCCATGTCTTCCTCGTCGTCATCGCCACGTCCCAGCTGCGGAGATAGAGTGTAGCATTCCTGGCGTTTGGTGGGACCAGCTCGAGCCAGCCGCGAGCCAGGCTTGCAGCGTTGAAGCAGTACGGAGCATGGAAGTCTGTTCCTCCGCTGCCACCGTCCTCTTGTTACCATTACCATCACCATCATCGTCATCATCACCACTGTCACCAGTATCAACAACATCATCGCTATCACTTTGGCCATCATCACCATCACCATCGTCAACAGCCGCACAATCATCATCATCATTATTATCATCATCAGCAGCAGCAGCAGCAGCAGCAGAAACATCATCAGCAGCAGCAGCATCATCATCATCCTCAGCAGCATCAGCAGCAGCATCATCAGCATCCTCATCATCATCAGAACAGCATAATCGTCGTCAGAATCATCATCTGCATTATCATCAGCATCCGCATTATCATTAGTACCAGTATCATCATCATCGTCATCATCAGCATCAACGGCAGCTGCATCACCATGATCGTTCTCATTACCAGTATCAGAATCAGCATGCTCGTCGATGTCATCAACCCTCCACCTCATCACCATTCGTATTCCTGTCCCTTCAAGTTGTTATCACATCGATCGCTTGGGACTTCGCCAGTTCAGGAGTTAAGAGACATCTTTCTCCTCCTCCTCCTTCTCCTTCTGCTCTGTCGGCAGTTGTGCGGTGCATTCAGGGGGTGCGAGTCCCTGGTTTGTCTTCCACCAGCACGAACTGCCGTTGGTGACGGGAAGGCTGGACCAAGCATTAGGGAATGCCCAAGTATTCTTGACGCTCCGCGTGTCACCATCAGCCCATCCAGAAACGACGCCCAGGCGCGTTGCCCTGACCAGCGAAGTGGAGGAATACGGTAGGTTCGCGCCGCGTCGACGCCGCCAGCGGCTCATCGGCCGACCTGGAGCGACAGTGATCTGCCGTTGAGCAGCGCTCACCAGGCCCACCAGAGGCTTCAGATTGGGGGCAGGTCACCTCACTCAACACACAAGGTGTTTGCCCATGAGGAGATCACCACATTTATTGCAGCAGCTGCGGATATGTAGGTGCACGTGAGGGCGGAGCCCTCAGGAACCTTGCTTTTGAATGCCGTCCTCGAACGAAGGACGGCAAGAGAAACCTGCATCAGATTGCGAGGGGTATTTGGCCAGGGAGCTCCAAGGCTGCTGCGGAATTCAATCACAGAAAAGGCTTTCGCCCCGCAAAGGCAAAGGCGAAGGCAATGTCCAGGTGCTAAAAACTTGATGAGCACTGCTCAGCGGAGAAATCCAAAAAAGTCGTCATCGTCGTCCGTCGTCGTCGTCGTCCTCCTCCTCGTCGCCCTCCTCTTTATCCCTCCATTGGTCGTCGGGGGGGGCTCTCCTCGTCCTCCCTTTCCTGGTCGTCGCCGTCATCGGCGGCGGCGGCGGCGGCGGCGTCGGGGGCATCGGCGTCGGCGACGTTGGCGTCGGCGTGGTCGTCGTCGTCGTCGCTGATTGTTCAGGGTAGAAAGATCCGCGCGGCGTCATAAGCCAACGCTGGGGTCGTCGCCACACGAACCTGCCGTACGCAGTAGAGTTGGCAAACTCTGCCCCAGTTCAACTTCTGCGGCACGCCGGAGACGGGCGGCCTGGGCAGCACGATCGAGGACTACGACTTCGTGGGCTACATCTCGAAGAACCACTCGGAGGAGAGCGAATGCTTTTCAATATTCCAAAGGGAACTTGGCATCGCGCGGACGTGTGCATGTTTTTCTCGGCGACGGCCATCGAGGACCATCCTTGATCATGTGGCGAAAAAGCCACGCACGAAACCGCAAACAAAAACACAGGGAAAGGACGTCCGAGCGATGGCCAGGGGGAAAGACTGCATAGAGCAAGGATGTTCGGCGCTCCGAGCAGATCTCTTGGAGCGGAGACGGGCCCCCCTGGGGGCGCCTCCAGCGAGGACTCTGGCGCGCTCTGCGCGCCAGGGAAGGGGGTCCAGCGCGGATCCAAGAAATCCGCCTCGGACCGTCGACGGTTTGTGCTTATGCCATCTGCTCTTGCCCAGTACTTCTCACAGGCACGTCAAGAACCCCGCAGCAGAGGGGAGGGAAGTGGGAAACACTTGCAACTGATCTATATATATATATATGTATACATACATACATATATATATATATATATATACATGCATATATATATATATATGTACATACATATATATATATATATATATATATATATATATATATGTGTGTGTCACCCCGAGCCGCTCGGCCAGGCGCGCCGCGAGGGCCGCCGCCGTGCCACCTCGCCCCCCGCCGGCACGCGTTGCGGATCTGTTCTTACACGGGATTCCGTGAGCGGACGCGGGGGAGGGTGATATGTTTGGAAGATGCGCAGGGGGGGGGGGGGGGGCGAGAAAGGAGGCATTTTTTGTTTGAGCTGCCGACGTCGTCGAGTTCATGAGCCTGACCTTTGGCGCCGCTGGAAGATGTACATGGGCTGAGAACTCTCTGGCTGTTCCGCAGCCGTTTCCTTTTTCCGCTTTGCCACTCCTTCGCTACGGACACGCCCCGCCGCTAACCCGACCTTTTTGTTGGATCCATTTCGCCGCACACCAAAAAACATGTTTAAGATGGAGAGTGCTTTTGATTCCCTGGCGATGGCGGACTTGACCTGGGACGGGAGGTAGCCGAGTGGGCCGGTCACGGCATGATTCGCGCAGGCGCCGTTTGGGAATGCTTTGGAGTGGCCTTTTCCCAGACGGCACTGGCGCGAAGCGCGGCGTGGCCACGGGGGGGGGAATGGGGGTGGCGGGGCCCGTCACGGGCGCTTGCCGAGGCGCGATTTTCTGAGAGGCGTTTCTGCCAGAGCCCAGCCCAGCACGCAGCAGTCGGGGGGCCAGCACGGGCTCGGACACTGCCAGTGGGGCAGGCGGCAGACCAACGTGCGAGCAGGGGCCACCTCGATCCTCGATCCTACTCTTAATCGATCCTCCTTCTCCTCCTCGATCCTCGATCCTCCTCGAAAACCTCGATTATCTCCTCGATCCTTGATCCTCCTCCTCGCAATCTAAGATAATAAGACGTGGTATGTATGATCATTGGGGGGCGAACATGCGTATACATTGGTATACATACATACAAACATACAGACATACGTACATACATACACGTCTGAGCATGCACATACATCAACGCACGCATATATAGTATATTTAAGACTGGTGCACCGAAGGGGTGAAGATATGGACTTTTTCGAGGTGTCTCGCAATGCCGCCGCTTGTCTTGTCTCAAGGTGCTTTGCAGGAGGAGAGAAGCGAGAGGTGCCTCGGCCCCCCTGTTCCCACCTCTTCCCGAAGGGTGGGTTAGGTCCCAGCTTGAGTCGTGGATCCTGGGCCGTGGGGGGTGGGGGGCCTGCCTCTCGTCTTTTGTCTGGCTGGTCTTGGTCCCGTGGTCCCGCCTGGTCCTTGGCCTGCGGCCCCGAGGCCGATACGGGCTTGGCCTCAAGGGGCCTTCCCGCCTCCCTCGGACGCTGGGCCGCTTGCCGTTTCACGGCGCCAACCCTCCGCGGGTCTCGCGGTGGCGCGTGGGGGTCGTGGTGGGGGTGGCCCGTTTCGGCCAGCGTTGGGACCTACCCTCCTGCAGAGCTCGCTTGCCGACAGTAGCTCTCATTTGCACCACCCGCGGCATGGAGCCGCTAGCAGCAGGCCAGCTGGTGCGACATTTGGTCTACGACGACGCCGAGGACGCCCAGGGCGAGAGGGCTGGCATCGTTCGGAAGGCTGGTGTGCCCACAGGGCGCGGGAGACTCGCTGAGGTTGACTACTTGAGTTTCTCGGATCCAGACTTTGCGTGGTGGTACCATTCGGCCGCTCAGAAAGCGATAGGTGCCCATTTCTGTCATGGAGGTCGTGATGATTGCTCCTGGAACGGCAAGCTTGCTGGACACAGCTGTATTCATGTTGACAAGTATCCGGTGATCACTCACATAGACCTTCAGAAGTTCCACAGTAAGTGGAGTAGCGCGGATCTTGGGTTGCCCGTCCTGCCTGGTGATATCAAAGGTCTGATCAAGCGTGCCGAGGAGTTGGTGGGGATCGCCGATGAGGAGAAGCCTGCGCCTGTACCCAAGAAGGCCAAGGCGAAGGCGGCCCCACCGCCGCCTCTTGTTGACGACGATGAGGAGGAGGGGGAGGAACAGGCGGACGAGGCGACGGAGGAGTTGGAGAAGGAGCTGCGCGCCCTGGCCAAGGATGTTGGCGAAGCGAATGGCGACAAGAAGATGGATTTGTTGCGCACCAAGCTGGATGCGCTCAAGAGAAAGGCTGAAGGAAAAGGCACCCATGGCACGAGCTCAGAGAAACCCAGACTGGAGGAGGTCATCGCTGGCCGCGTCGCTGGCATGGAGGCCTCGAGCTCCCGGCCCAGCAAGAAGGAGGACATCAGTGACGACGACGAGCCCGTGAAGGGCAAGGACCGCTCGGCGCTGCGGGCGCTCGCCGGGACACTGAAGAGCGCCTCCAAGGATTCGGACAGCGACGACGAGGACGCGGAGCATGGCGGAGACTCGTCGGTTTCGAAGCTCGTGGGCAAGAGGCTCGCGTTCAAGAAGATGGCCAGGAAGCATCCTGGCATAACCACGGAGCGGGAGATCAGGAACACGTTGGCGCTTCTCGATGAGGGCGAATTCGAGTCGGACGATAAGAGCCTGCCCCCTGCGTGCACGCGATTCTTGCTTCGTGTTTTCAAGCCCGAGCACCCGCTCAGAGAGGTCGGGGTGGGCAAGTGCAGGGAGATGAGGACCCTCGCGGAGGCTATGGGTTTGTTGCGGGGCAAGCCAGCCCAGGCCTTGGACTACCTGATGAGCCGCTTCCGCACGAATCAGAAGGAGCTGAAGGATGGACACCCGCGTGCATCTCGTTGGCTAGAGTTGATTCCCCCGGAGACACAGGGCTGCAGCCTCAACGAGGACGACGAGGAGATGGCGCTGGGCGTCGAGGCGGCCCAGCAGAAGATGCTCGCCCTAGGAGAGCGCGCCAGGAGCTCGCTCTAGGAAGCTGGCCGGGGGGGCACGGGCGGCTGCGCCCGCATCCCCAGCGGCAAGTGCCGCGGCAGAAGCCCGGGGCGTGAGCTGCTATCTACGCCAGCGGGCACAACCGAGGACGCGCGTCGATTGCGAGACGGGCTCGTCGTTCGCAGCGGTGCGCGTTCTGGGTCACCTGCCGCGCGTGAACCTTTACCGCTGGGAGCTCCTGGCGGCCGACCGCTGGCATTGTGCGATCAGGCGCCGGGGGGCGACTTGGCCCTGATGGGGGGCCGTCCACCTCCCGACAAGTCCGCGGGCGGGACTCCTCTCTCATCGAGGGCTTCCCTGAAGGCCAAGTTCCCGGAGAAAGAGGGCGAGTCGGGGCGGCGGTGCAAGGCGAGGATCCAGCGCATGATCTGGGGGGGCGCGGAGGGGGGCCCCGGACAAGGAGGGGGTCCGGCCAGAGCGGCCGGGCCCGCCGCGTGGCCCCCCTGCGCTGACCCCTTTTGAGGGGGTTGGCGACTGGGGGAACTGGCTGGCCATCTCCGCGCGTCGCCAGGACCTCTCCGGCAGGGGGCCACTCGAACATGGGTTTCTGATTTACGAGAGTATCTTGGGATCGCCGACGAGGATCGGACGTGTCTGGAGAGATTTTGACAAGTACTCACTGCCACAAGGCGGAGGTGCATCGGCTAGGGACGTCCTCCCCATGGCTGTTACGATGCCTCTGCATGCTATCGAATAGCGCCTGCAGGTTGCCCCGCAACGGCCATGGAAGGACGCTCGCACTCTCGACAGGAGCGCCAAATACACCAATGACGACGCTCGTAAGATGCATCCCCTGACTGAAGACCATTGGCTGCATCTCGCCATCATGGGCCTCAACTTCCACTACCTCGGACACTTGAGCGAGGAGGCGGGGGCACTGCGCCGCGGGGGCCGTGGCCCAGGCCTCTAGCAAGGCGACCTTTCGCGAGACGGTGCGTTGGTTCATCGGGGAGGAGTTCGTAACGCATCAGTTCCCCGACTGGAAGCAGGAGGTGCTCGACCCGCATTTTCCAACTACAACGACGACGAGGACTGCAGAGCGCTGCCCCTGCGACTGGGGGAACTTCTTCCTGGTTTCCCCAAGCCAGAGCACGTGGGCAAGCTGCAGGCCCGGGACTTTGTCGAGCCGTTGGTGCGGGGTTTCTTGGGCGATCCCAGACAAGCTCTCCTTCCCCCCGCGCAGTGGCTTGCTTCGGTGCCGAAGGCACGGGCCACCGCCGACGGCGACGAGGACTGGTGGGAGGTTGCGAGGGAGCCAGCGAAGCTCGGGCTGTGCGAGCCGATCGAGTACGACGACATCTTCGAGCACAAAGGCCCGAATATCCTGAGTGGTGTCTTTGCGGCTCGCCGGAAAAGTACACCCCTGCCTGGCGAGACGCGGGTGGCGCGGCTCATTTTTAACATGATCCCCGCCAATGGTTTCATGAAGGAGATGGAGCATGATGCGGCGATTCTCGCGCCGTCCCCTCACAGGGTTTCGAGCGGCCTCGAGGATGATGACGCCATGCCGTGGAGCGGGGACGACCGGACAGGGGCCTTCTTCATGTGGGTTCTACCGAAGAGCTAGCGCGGCTTCATGGCTGCCGGTCGACCTGTTCCCGGCAGTCTCTTGGGCTGTTCCCAGAAGCGCGTCTACCTAGCGATGGCCGTTCTCCCGATGGGATGGGCCCTGTCGGTTCCGATATTTCAGCACATCCACAGGCGTTTGGGGCTTCTTCCCGATCTTCGTGGGGCCTTCCTTCCAAAAGAGCGAGAATGGCGACGAGACCGACCCGCGCCCGTGCCTGCTGTGCTCACTGGCATCGAGGGTGCTAGCCGCGAATGGTGGCAACGTACGTGGATGACTTCGACGATGTGGAGGTGGCCCCGCGTGCCATAGTTGCCGTCAACCAGGGGGCCGTCGGGCATTTCCAGCAGAAGATGCGGGATAGCTACCTCTGGAATGGATTTGAGATTGCTGAGGACAAGGCCACCTGAAGACGCCTGCGAGTCACTCGCATGGGCGTCGTGGTGGACGGCTTGACAGGGCGCCTTGCTAACGCGACGGGGCGCAACATGGAGCTGTTGTCCCTCGCGGTCTTCCTCTTCAGCTATCCTCGACTCCATGGCGATGGCCCCCTGGTCCTCCTTGGGCGCTGGGCGCGGGCGCGGGAGTTCAGGGCGCCCCTCTTCGGCATCTTCAACGGCGCGTGGGAGCGGCTGGCGCACAACAAGCGGGCCATCAATCCCGCGATGGGCTGCGAGCTGCTGCACGCGCTGGCGACGCCCCCGCTTGCCAGTGCCAACCTGCGGGCCCGCGCGAGCGGAGTCGCCACCTGCTCTGACGCCAGCGAGAGCGCTGGCGGGGTCTGCGTGGGCGCGGATCTGAGCGCCGGGGGGTGGAGACCGCCCGCGGCTTCACCCAGGCGGGCGGCTTGCCGCCAAGGGACTTGCACATGCGCCTGGCCACCCTCAATGGGCGCGCCGAGGTGGACACCCGCAGCGCGCTGCTGCGAGGGGGCCAGGGTGGAGCTCCCCGCGCTTTGTTGATCAGCATGTTTGACGGAATTGGCTGCGCTGCGGTGGCTCTCAGCCGTTTGGGCTGTGTCATCGTGGGCTACGCCAGCAGCGGGATAGACAAGAATGCCGAGCGTGCCGCGCGCGCCCGGTGGCCGGGCGTCATAGAGTTCGGCCGCGTGGAAGATGTTTCCGAGCAGGTCATTGCCAGTCTTGCGGCGCCCTACAATGACAAGGTTGACGTTGCACTGTTGATGGGGGTAGCCACTGTCAGAACCTCGCGAGCGCCGAGCGCCCGGGACTGAGCGGTGAGAAGATGCGTCTGTTCTATCATTTGTCTCGGATGATCGATTGTGTAAAGGATGCGTTCACCTGCTGGGTGCACTGGCTCGTCGAGAACGTCGCGAGCATGACCCTCGAGGACACCGAGGGGTTCAACGAGGCTCTGGGAGTGACCCCCGTCGAGGTTTGCAACAGTCTCTTCACCGAAAACCGTCGGCCCCGCCTGCGCTGGCGCTCCCGGGATATCACAGCCTTGGACGGGGCCGAGATAGTCGGGTCAAGCCGAGGGCGAGCAGTGCGAGATATCCGACTTCGACGACTCGGGCGAGGGGACTGGATAAGCCCTGGGGCATACCGCCAAGACGACTCGAAGCCTCCTTGCACATTCGTTCAGAAGGTCTTGCGAACCGAGCCGAGGTATAAGCCGGTTGGAATACGCGAGGCGAGCGAGGAGGCCTTACGACGCTGGGCCTCGGACATGCACTCATATCCCCCGCGCCAGCACAACGACCAGAACTGCATCGTTGAAGGGGGGAAGAGTTCGCTGAGCTACTTCTGCAGAACGAGAGGTCCTACTGGGGCCCCCACGTCACTGCACCTCGGCCTTGGCCATGTCGAGCTCAAACCAGCAGGCGGTCGAGGCCCTGCGGCGTTCGCTGCTCGGGAACGCCTTCGCCGTCGCCCCGCTCGGCTGGCCCCCCAGGACCCTCTTTGCGGCGTTCGGGCACTTTTCTGGGCGCTTCTCCGTAGAGAGCCTCGCGCGCCCCATCGAGTGGAAAGACTTACTCGACGAGAGCGTTGAGTTCGCCAAGGAGCCAGTGGAGGAGCGGGTGGAGAGCCGCCTGCTGGTTCGGCTGTTCCAAAGCATAGGCGAGAGGGGGGGGCTCCGACGTGCGCCAAGGCATCGGCGTGCCCTTCAGGCCGAAGGCCTGGCCACGGGCCGGCATCGATCCCGCTCTTTGGAAGTGGGAGGTCGTCCTCAGTTTCCCGCGGGGGCCGAGCGCACGCAGTCGGCAGCCACATCGGCGCTCTTGAATTGCGAGCTGCGGCGGCCGCGGCGCGTTGGAGGGCGAGGTCTACAGGCTTTCGGAGCGTTCGCTTCTTACACTTGGTTGATTCTCAGGTGGTGGCAGCCATTCTGACACCAGGGCGCACAAGCTCCCACAAGTTGCGGAATCTTGCAAAGCAGTACTGCGCCACGCTGTTGGCATCAGACCTTTACCCGCTCACCGGGTACGTCAACACAAAAGCGAATGCGGCTGATCATCCGTCACGCTCGAGCTTTGCGAAGAAGACCCCGCCAAAGTCATGGGGAAAGACTCGCGGAAGCCTGCGCTGACGGGGAGGCGACGACCTGGCCACCTTGCTCAGCAACACAGCGAGCGCCACGCGAAGCTGCGCGACATGCAGGTCACGACGGAGACGAAAATGAGATACGTGAGTGCTCTGAGCCGTTTTCTTCAGTGGGTTACCCAGACACGGAGTGTTTTGCCATATGAGTCTGTGGATCAGGTGCTTGCCGAATGTGTAGAATGTTTGTTGGGCTGACCTCGAGCCGTGCTACGTCCCCGTGAACGCGGCTGCGGGCCTCCAGCGGTTGCCCCTTTCGCTCGAAGTTTCTCTTGACCACTCCTGGAGTTTGATCCGGGCGTGGGAGCATCGGGCACCACCATCGAGGGCCACGCCATTTACAGGTCAGCTGTCTCTTGCAGTGGCGCATTGCGCCTGGCATGTGGGGGGGGGCAGGACTTGCTGCATTGGCGCTGATCGGTTTGATACCTTCTTGAGAAGTGGAGAACTGATCGCGATGAAACGTCGTGGCGTCATCTTTTTGAAGGGCAAGGCCGCCATTTCCATCCCCATCAGCAAGACCAGTCAGAGGCCAGGCCCGAGTGAAGCAGTCGTTGTGGAGGATGGCATCAGCAGAAGAGTTTTAGCGCATGTCTGCAAGTCCCTCGAGCCAGAGAATCTGGTGTTTGGGCTGACTGGGGGCCAGGCTCGGCCAAAGCTTAATATCAGCTTGCACACACTAGGCTTACAAGGGCGAGGGCTCTCGCTCTATAGCCTTCGACGCGGTGGATCAACCGCCCATTCCACGCGCCACGGTTCTATAGAGAGCACACTGGTAAAACGAAGGTGGT